TGGGCTTTTGGGGACTGAGACAATTGACGTTTGAAGGCAAGATTTTAATTTTTAAAGCAGCGATTTTACCACTAATTTGACTTGTCTGTTCTGTTTTTAGTCCCCCAAGACGATTCCTGGCCAAGCTGGAGAGGGCGGTATTTTATTTCCTGTGGGGGTCCAAGTGGGAACGACTAAAGAGGGAGGTCATCAAAAAGAAAAAAGAAAATGGCGGGAAAGGCCACCCAGACCCCCACCTTTTTTTAGGCAGCCGCTTTGCCGCCCTCCACATCCAATATGCCCTGACCCCATCCAGAGAACACAAGACAGCAGCCATGACCCGATTCTGGATGGGGTCATACCTAAGAACTTTGAAAATTTTACCCATTGATCTTAAAAGTCCAGTGTCTTTTAATTTGTCAAAAGAGCATAGTTTTATTAAGAAATTTTTAAAGAAATATCTTTTAGAGACAAATGATGCCACCATTTTAACTAACCATAAGTCTCTTATCTCTCTTGTGCAGGATCGGGAATCGGTGAGTCCGGTTCCAGGCCTCACACTAGGTGAGGCCAAAGACGTTTGGAGGAACGCAGCCCACCCAGCTCTCCAGAACAGGCTGAAAGACTTGTCGTGGATGGTGGCTCATGAGATCCTCCCGGTCAGGGCGGTCATGCACTCCAGAGGCATGGCCAAAAACTCCACCTGCCCACGGTCCGGATGTGGTTCCCCGGAGACCGTCTACCATCTGCTCTGGGAGTGCGGCGCTGCGCGGGACCTGTGGGCCAAGACCGGCCCCCTGTTTTTCCCGTGCCTGCCAGCGGGTGGGGCCCAGGTGGACTACAAGCTCGCCATCCTGGGGGTGGGTCAGGGCTTGAAGGAGCTTACATCACCCCAATTCTCCTCGCTCTGGCTCACCCTAAACATGATCAAGGATGCCATCTGGGTCACCAGAAACCTGCTGGTGGGGAAACGCGTTACGGTGCCCCTCCACGCGTGCGAGCAACTGATAAAATCAACGCTGCAGGAGGCGCCGGACGTCGTTATTCGGATGGGGGGGCCGGGCCACACGGGGAAGGTCCCGGCCGCCACCGACCCTGGCCGCCCGTAGATGCACCCTCACCACACCGGCTACGGGAACAGCGGGCCAGCGGGCCGGAGGAGAGGGGATCTCCGCTGGGCACCGGAAGCGGGGAGTCTGGAGCCGGTTCTGGAGACCTGGAGTGAATGGAAAATCTTGATAGGGACTCACCCTCGATCCTGTACAAGAGATGTTTTATTTGGCATGTTTTATTTGTTTTACAGTTTTAATTGCATTTATTTTCATCCATTTAACTTTCTTTTAAACAACAAATATCAACATACATGGACTTTTAAACTACACACCACACAAAACTGATTTTTAAACGTTAAATGTGTAATTTTTGTTTTAAAATATGTGATTTTTAAGAAAGGAAAAAAAAAATGTGGAAATGGAAATAATGGAAAAACTGTGAAAATAAACTTTTTTCGAAAGAAAAAAATCTGTTCTTATCAGTTTAATATCTGATACGTGCCCTACCCGGGCACCATATATTAAATTGCTTTTTGGAGCTGGGAGATGGAATAGGGGCTTGCTCCGTCCACTCCACGCATCGACCCGGTATTGCAGTACTTCTGGGAACGGTGCACCCCCCTAAAGTGTTCAATGAAAGAAATGTTTTGGTGTTATGTGGCAGCAGGTGTTAATGGAAGTAGTGTGTATTGTCGTGTTGTAGGTGATCATATACTATACTAGTAAAGGTAGAATCGTGGTGTAAAAAAAAAAAACTCTGTTCCTATCCGTTTAATATCTGATTCGTCCACTATCCGGGGACTGCGTATTAAATAGATTTTTGGCTCACGGAGCCGGAGCATGAAAAAACAACAAAAAAGCCCGCCACTGCACATTTTTGATGTCTCTCTTATCTCTTGGAGTCTTTACTAACGAGCTGATGAGTTGAATCAGGGGTGTGTGTGTGTTTGATTGTCAAACCGTTGGTGAGGATTGCGAAGAGGGACAGGGTGCTTCTGACTGAAGGCCTGGGAATTCATACTTACCTGGCAGGAGAGACACCATGATCAGGAAGGTGGTTCACCCAGGGCGAGGCTCGGCCATTGCACTCCGGTTGTGCTGACCCCTGCGAATTCCCCAAATGTGGGAATCTCGACTGCATAATTTATGGTAGTGGGGGACTGCGTACGCACTCTCCCCTGGACACACTGGTTAACCTGTTAACCGTCACCAGTGCGTGGGCGCTCTGAAGCGTTTTTTTTTTAAATAGTTAAATATTTAATGTTATTAACTTGACAAACTATACATCATTAAAACGATATAAGACTCAAGTTTCAGTATTTGACCACTATTGTATTCTGAGAAACTTATAGTGACAGTTATGTCTTAATTTGTGTCAGGAGTTATGAAATTAAAAAATGAGTCGTTACCTTTAATATGAATTATGAGCGTCAGCCGGTCTCATTCAGAAAAAAACTCCCGTGCGATCGTCATGACAGCGATTCACAAAACAACGTCCCTCAGGGCTTTTAGCTCAAACATGTGCAGATTTGGAGAAATATTGATAGATTATCATAGGTTTACATCAGATTTCTATAGACAGGAATAATATTTATTGAATTTATACCCAAATGCGTCGATGTAATCATTTTGAGCGCTGTATTCTCTGATGTACTGAGTTATCCATTCATACTGAAGTCTGGGGCGCTGTTGCACAGTAAAGTCCATATATGGATCACATGAAGAAGAGCCATAATCATGTGACATTCAGGAAGTCCTGATACATAAACAAAGCTATCCGAGATCGCTGTAAAGTGCAGATAAAGATGTTTTGAAGACAATAAACATGATTGCAATGATATTTGATTTACCTGTGTTCTTCGAGTCATGTCAGGTATTTTCATAATAATAGATTATATGTATAATGTAATGCTAATCGAGATAGACTTTCAAATTGTGCAGAATACAATAAAATAATATATTTTCTATCTGATTTTTTTATCTGAAGCCAAATCAGATTACAGAAAGTTATTTAAAACACTCGACTTGCGCTATAAAGTAAGTTTAGAGCACAAACATAGTTTTATTCTCATAAATTGTCGTGTATTGATGGTGTGCTAAGCTAACATGCTAGCTAGTACTGAGCACCTGCTACCTAACTTCGGTGTAATTTTTATGATTTTTTTTTTCTAAATAAGAATGCTTACTGAAATGTTTCGTTTTTCAAAAAGGGCATTTGATACAGTTTCACTGTGAAGTGAGAACTTTTATAAAAGAAATGAGGGATTGAAACATTGTGAATTGCTAGTCGTTAGTGATTATAATGCAGACAAAAGAAAAGCATATTTAGAGCAATAAACAGGCTGGAGAGGTGTGAATATGTGCAGGGGAGACTGAGACTGAATGGGGCTTGTTTTTGCATCACAAAACAATAGAGGCAATAGACTGAATAGATGCTTATAAGATGACAATAAACCCCAGTCTAATCAAAATAAAGTCATATGACATGATCTTGAAAAACATTGAACTAAATACAGAGTTTTAGACTTATCATCTTCAGATTTTAAATATAACATGGCCAGACATGTGGCTTTAGCTGCAGTGCATTTCTAGATTGCTACAATGCCAACTTCAATTTTATTTTCATGAATAGGTTTCATAAAAATAAATGTATAATAACTTTACAAAACTTTGAAGCTATTTATAACTATTTTTTTTCATTATGACAATAATTAATTCTACATTTACAATAAACTTCCAGGTGTCAGCTTTCAAATGAGATCTTACTTGTGCTTTTAGTACAAAGGGTTCATGAACTGTATCTGTTTCAGTTTGGGAATGCCATATCTGGGGATTTTTCAAAAATGGGGTTGCAGGTTAACAGGTTAAAAGAGCAGATTGTTAAAGTTCCACTTATGTTTTTCTTCTTCTTCTTCTGATAGTTGATGACCTAGGAAGTCCAGATAATTTTAACTGCAGTGGTTGATCGGGAGATATAAAACAACCTCTGTGAAAGGAGGTTTTTTGTTTAAATGGATTTGTTTTATTCTTCTTCAAATAATCTCCAATATTTAACAAACGATTTGATTCACAGCAGTTGTCCTGGAGGCAAAGTTGTTCGTAATCAGGAGGTCTATCATGTGGTATGAATACCTTGTGCATGTGTGAAACATCATGTGATATACAGCTGTCTATGGCCGTATTCATGTTGTTGTTTTTTCTGTTTACAGCGCCACCAAGTGGCCAGTCGCCGCATCCCTTTTCACGTGACCACAGGCTGAGCCCGTACACAGGTGTACCGAGTTGGGTGTAATTGTCTCATTCCGTTGGCGAGTTATAGCCATTTAAGTAAAGCCCGCCTCGCCAACTCCCAACGTTTTGGCGTCCGGTCGCCAACGCGAATGGAAATTCCGACTTTTTTCACGATCACTGTTGGCAGTCAGACTCCAGAGAATCTTTCTGCACCGGTTTGGGTCAGATCGGGCAAAAAACCTAGGACTAGTGTGCAAAAGTAGGTTTTTCAGAAAATCCAAAATACCCGAAAATCTCGCCAGCGCGACCATCCAATCCGAGGCGTGCGTCTTGTTCGGCCCGAGCCAAGGATTCCGGTCATGTAAGACACTTGGGTCTGCGACGGACGGTCGAGGAGTTACGAGCCATTTCGTACTTTTGATCGCTGCAGCGCCACCCTGGGGCCGATCGGGGCGAGCCTTGGTGATGTTGTACACCGGGCGGGTACTAGCATCCGTCAGAGTTTCAAGTCTCTACGACGTACGCTTTGGTCTGCCCGCTCACTTTTAGGGCAGAATGTTGATGATCCAAAATCCCAGGTTGCACTCCAGAGTGTCGTGTTGTGCACTCTGTTGTGATCCATTTTCGGTGTGACAACCAATCTGAGCTGAGCTTGTTTGTTGGCGACCTTAGACCCTCTCGCCGCGGCCCAGGTGGGCGTGGCTTTTGCCGGCTCCCCCGCCTCTGCGTCATTGTGTCATCGCTTCTCGGCCTTTTGGCTAAGATCAAGTGTAGTATCTGTTCTTATCTTTTCCGGCTCGGGTCCTTCAGTGGCTTGAGCCTCAAACTTTTGAGAGGTATATTGACAGTGCGTTTTATCCGGACGACTTGGTGTTCCAAGGTAAGTTATTTATTTATTTATTTATTTATATATTTATTACTGGTTTTTAAGGTTTTGTTTTAAATAGCTGTTGGTGTCTCCACCATGTCGGCTGCTCGTGCCGGCATGCGGAGGCACCACAGCGTGCGTTTTTTATTTAAAGAGGTGGATGGTAAGCTCCTGGGGTTGTCACGTCTTGACATCTCCAGGAAGCTGATCCAGAAAGCCCTTAATTTTAAACCTGATGACTTGAACTGCTTAGTAACTCTCCCCCTGAACAAAGGTTTTGATTTAAGTTTCAAAAGTGCTTCCCTGTTAATTGAATTCTGGCAAAGATTTGATGCATGCAAAGCCCAATTCTCTATGTTTACTGTGGAGAAACTCTCTGACAATTCATTAAAAACTGTGATTGTCAGGATGTTTAATGAAACCGTTAATGGGGAGGACATTTGTGTCTGGTTGGGCAGATTTTGCACTGTTCGGGGGCAACCAGTCAAAGTGTTAGATGAAGATGGTATCTGGAATTGCTCCTGGCGAATTCCCATTAAACAATGGGAAGACGCCGGGGGCTACCAGGGCCTGAAACATCTACCTTCAATGATTGTGTTGGGAGAGAACAGAGGCTACATTCACTATCAAGGAATGCCTAAACTGTGTAGGAAGTGTGGGAGAATGGGGCATTTAGCCGATGCATGCAAGGAATTAACATGTGGGAAGTGTAGAGGAATTGGTCACATTTTTGAAGAATGTACCATTGGCAGAAGGTGTAATCTTTGTGTTGAAACCAACCATCTCTACAGAGATTGCCCTAAGAGTTTTGCCAACAAATTGAAAGGCAACAAAATGGCCGCCCCACCCAAAGAACAAACGAAAGAACAAAGAGAGGAGGAGGCGGGCCCTGAGGTTTTGGCGGGAATTTCAAATTCCCAGCCAGCCTCAGGGATTGGACAAGGAGGAGGAAGTGGGGGGGCCTCAATTGTTGAGCCATCAAATATAAAAGAACAGAGGGAGGGAACCACTCCCCAGCAAGACACAAGTGAGAACAAAATGGAGGATGGGGTGGAGGAAACGGTTTCCTCCCTAGAAACAGTGTCGGAGGCTAGTGTGTCGACTAGTGGGAGTGAAATAAATTGTTCTCTCCCCAATGCTCAAGTGCAGAAAAGAACTGCGAGATCTCCTCTGGTTCAAACAGAGGAGAAAAAGCTGCGGGTAGCGCATCGGCTAGATAGTTCCCCCGTGGAAGATCTAGACCGTATGTGGCCCGCAGAATCTCCAAATGAAGTCTCTTTTCTGCATTTTAAGCTAAGAACATCGTCGCCAAAGGAGTCGCAAGAGGTTTTCTCTGTGAGCCCTGAGGCGTCAAGCACTTGCCTCCTTGATCCCAGGCTCTCTGGGGAAAAGGAAAGGCAAGTGCAACAAGAAATTACATGATTTTAATTATATCTCTGTAGTCCCCTTGTTGCTTTTAAATGTCTCATACTCTTTTAACCACACTGCTCATGGCTCTCACTATCTCTACAATCAATGTGAGAAGTGTGAGGAGCAATATAAGAGCACAGAGCGTTTTATCTTTCTTAAAATCTTTTAAGTCAGATGTGTTTTTATTGCAAGAATGTGGCCTGCCTTTTTTAACAAATTACAGGAAGTGGGAGGAGACTTGGACCCCAGGACATTCCATCTGGAGTGGGTCCAATTTTAACAAAAATGACGGTGTTGCTATTTTAATCAACAATCCCAACATTTTGGTGAAGGGCAGCACTGTGGTGAGGGATGGGCGGGCAATTTTAGCTAATCTGACTTTTTTAGGTAAGGATTTTAACATTTTAAATGTGTATGGTTTTACGGACAAAAATAACAGGTATGAGCTTTTAGAAGACCTGCAGCCCCACATGTTAGGTAGGGCCCCCCTAGTGGTAGCAGGGGATTTTAATTGTGTTTTAAACAAGAAAGACAGGAAGAGGGTAGGAGATGATTTTAAGGTTGACAAAACATCGGTTTTATTGCAGGATTTAGTTAGAGATTTTAAACTAGTAGACTGTTTTAAAGCAATGCATCAGAGAGAGGAGGGCTTCACCTGGTTCAGTGGTGACGGCACCAGAGCCTCTCGCATTGACTACATTTTTACACGGGACTGCCTGCCAACCGATGCAACATTAACCCCCCTCTTTTTCTCAGATCACACAATGTTGTCATGCACCCTTTCACTACCCACCGGTGTGACAGTAGGGGGAGGGCTGTGGAAGCTAAACTGCTCCCTTTTGGAAGATAAAGAAGTAGTTAGTGAGTACAGGGAGCAGTTCAGCCAATGGCAGACCCTCCAAGACTTTTACGACTCACGTGCACAGTGGTGGGAGATGGTGAAGGAACGGACAAGACAGTTTTTTAAAAAGATAGGAAAAAATAAAAAGAATAAATTAAATCGATGCATGATGGGGCTGCAAAAACGATTACAGAGGTATTTTAATCTTTTAAATGATGGGTTTGATTTTAGTGAAGAAATTAAAGAAATAAAGCAAGAAATGTCAGTTTTATCCGAAAGCCAAAGCAAAGGTGTCATTTTAAGGAGCAGGGAGAGGGAGATAGAGGAAGGTGAAAGGTGTACCAGGTATTTTTTTAAAAAGATTATTTCACGGGGTGGGGCAATTACTGTTTTGAAAAGTGGAGGAAGGGAGGTTTACACTACAAAAGAAATTTTAAAGGAAACTGAAGTATTTTATGAAAACCTATACAACACCAAAGAAGTTCACAATGACACATTAAGGGAAGTTTTAGAGTTTTTAGAAAAGAAAGTCGACAGTGAATGTACAATTTTATCTCAAGATTTTACCATTTTAGAAATTCACAAAGCTCTTAAAAGTTTTAAACGAGGAAAGTCCCCTGGTGCAGACGGACTTCCTCTGGAGTTTTATTTAACTTTTTGGGATATTTTAGCGTTTGACTTACTGACTGTTTTCAAAGAATTCGAGACTCTTGAAAGACTTCCTGACAGTTTTAGAGTAGGGATAGTTTCACTTTTACACAAAAAAGGGGACAAGACGGACTTACGGAACTGGCGACCCATTACTCTTTTAAACGTTGACTGTAAACTTTTTAGCAAAATTTTAGCCACACGCATGTCGACAGTTTTAGAGGACGTAATCCACCCGGATCAAGCATGCGCTGTGCCCGGAAGGAAGATCACGGACAGCCTGGTGCTGATCAGAGATGCCATCTGTTATGCGAGAGACAGAAGCATTCGGCTAGTAGTCCTAAATTTAGACTTTGAAAAAGCATTCGACCGCATCTCGCACCAGTTCCTTTTTAAGGTACTGAGTAAAATGGGGTTTCCAGGGAGGTTCATAGCCTGGGTAGGACTGCTGTACAACAGTCTGGTCAGCAGAATTATAGTTAATGGGCATTTATCCAAAGCTGTGAATATCCACAGCGGCGTCCGTCAGGGGTGTCCTTTATCTCCCCTTCTGTATGTGGCCTGCATTGAGCCACTGGCACAAATCTTGAGAAGGGACAAATGGATTAAAGGACTAAACATTCCAGGGACTGGTGGACTGACGGCAACCTGCGTTTTATATATGGACGACGTGACCCTTTTAGCAACGGACGTTTTATCGGTACGAAGAGCAATGGACTTGACTGACTGGTACGGTCGGGCCTCAGGCGCCAAGCTCAATAGGAGCAAGTCTGAGGCCCAGCTCTTCGGGCCGTGGGGGAACGTTGACACAGGTGGACTAGATTTGGATTTTAAAGACAATAATTTGAAAATTTTAGGTGTAAAATTTGACAGAGAGGGTGGAGGACAGGGAAACTGGACTGACATGTTAGGGAAAGTTAGGCAAAGACTGGGCTTTTGGGGACTAAGAAATCTGACGTTTGAAGGCAAGATCTTAATTTTTAAAGCCCTGATTTTACCACTGATTTTACTTGTCTGTTCTGTTTTTAGTCCCCCACGAAGTTTCCTGATCTACCTGGAGAGGGCAGTGTTTTATTTCCTGTGGGGGTCCAAGTGGGAGCGACTCAAAAGAGAAGTGGTGAAGAAAAAAAGAGAGAATGGCGGAAAAGGGCTCCCAGACCCCCACCTGTTTTTAGGCAGCCGCTTCACTGCCCTCCACATTAAATACGCCCTGACCCCATCCAGAGAACACAAGACAGCAGCCATGACCCGATTCTGGATGGGGTCGTACCTAAGATCTTTGAAAATTTTACCAGTTGATCTTAAATGTCCAGTGTCTTTTAATCTGTCAAAAGAACATCTTTTTATTAAGAAATTTTTAAAGAAATATCTTTTAGAGACAAATGATGCCACCATTTTAACTAACCATAAGTCTCTTATCTCTCTTGTGCAGGATCGAGAATCGGTGAGTCCGGTTCCAGGCCTCACACTAGGTGAGGCCAAAGACGTTTGGAGGAACGCAGCCCACCCAACTCTCCAGAACAGGCTCAAGGACTTGTCGTGGATGGTGGCTCATGAGATCCTCCCGGTCAGGGCGGTCATGCACTCCAGAGGCATGGCCAAAAACTCCACCTGCCCACGGTCCGGATGTGGTTCCCCGGAGACCGTCTACCATCTGCTCTGGGAGTGCGGCGCTGCGCGGGACCTGTGGGCCAAGACCGGCCCCCTGTTTTTCCCGTGCCTGCCAGCGGGTGGGGCCCAGGTGGACTACAAGCTCGCCATCCTGGGGGTGGGTCAGGGCTTGAAGGAGCTTACATCACCCCAATTCTCCTCGCTCTGGCTCACCCTAAACGTGATCAAGGATGCCATCTGGGTCACCAGAAACCTGCTGGTGGGGAAACGCGTTACGGTGCCCCTCCACGCGTGCGAGCAACTGGTAAAATCAACGCTGCAGGAGGCGCCGGACGTCGTCATTCGGATGGGGGGGCCGGGCCACACGGGGAAGGTCCCGGCCGCCACCGACCCTGGCCGCCCGTAGATGCACCCTCACCACACCGGCTACGGGAACAGCGGGCCAGCGGGCCGGAGGAGAGGGGATCTCCGCTGGGCACCGGAAGCGGGGAGTCTGGAGCCTGTTCTGGAGACCTGGAGTGAATGGACAATCTTTGTAGGGACTCAC